TTTGTGTGAATTCGATACGTCTTTCGACCCTTCGCCGCAATACATTGAGTCGGAGGTACTTTAGAGGAATCCCTTCACCATGCCCGTGACACACCAATTTTCTGTGACTTGATGTGAAGACTTTGTACAAAAACATCGTTAACAAGACGATAAAGTGAGGCTACCATCATGCAAGCAAATATATACTGTGGTAAGGTAGCAAAAGGCGTCAAATGTGTGCACTTTAAGGATAGAATCAACTCACTTTTACCATTTCCATGAGAGATTCGGCTTGAAGACTGCCGCAACCTTCTTGAATAAGCGCTGTGATGGTTCCATCGGCACGAACGGCAACAAGAACTCTTAAATGAATGCGCCAAATACTCAGTTAAAAAAAATTATTTTACATATGCGTATTTTGAAACCCATTAAAATAGTTATGATTCAAATGAACACAAAAACAGAGCAGAAATGTATTTCTACTGGATAAGCAAGTTGACACGATTGGTCCAGGAAAATGATTTTTTACCTAGAAAACTTAATTTGAATTTAATTACATCACAGCAGCGCATGTTTTACATTGTCTAGAAAATTACCACATTCTCTTAATTTTGATAAAAGTAAAAGAAAGTGGAAAGGGCTAGGCCAACCCCGCTCTGGAAAAGAACCGAGTGGTGAAGATAGACTCGTCTTAAAACGCCTAAGCATTGCAATGACGTTGGCTAAAAGATGCCACCGTGGTTACCAGCAAAGCTGAATCACAGAATGTAATGGCAATAAATTTTGAATTGCCTTGGCCATGTTTTGATCTTTTGCGAACCTTCGCGTGTGCTTGCCTCTGCTACAGGTTTTGCAGTAAGTACAAGGATTCCATTTAACTCTCAACAGCCGCAAGCCGATAGAAAGATCCCGTTAAAATTGTTCCAAACTCAGGCAAAACCCTAGAGATGTCACCCCTTCTGACAAGGCTGATTCATGCACATGGCTTTTATGACCAGCCGAACCGTAAGCTTACTCAGACTATGGGTTTCTTCCAGTATGGCATATACTGAGTCACTGGTTTAAACAAATTATGTGGTATCTGGCCCGGTATCCAATACAGTTTAGAGCGTTATCCGGAAACTTTCGAAACCCCTCTCTTTTATTAGCAATCAGTAATACTTTGGCTCCTCTGTTTAAGGGAAAAAAATAATATTCATTTCGAAAAAGAGTGTCTGTATCACACGATTTCTATGAGCATCTAAGCCTAAAAGTAACGTTAGCATTCGCAACTATAAGGACAACTGTTGGTCAAACGAATAACGTTTCCAAGTGAAAAAACAGCAGAAAGTATTCGCCGGTACTGACAAATTTTAAGTACTTAATAAAGACAAATTTACCTTGAAAGTGAACAGGCCTCCTCTTCTCTGTTGGCATCTACGACGTATGAATTGCCAATCTAATAGTCACAAATGAACATAAACTTCTCACCAAAGCAAAGCAAGTAAATAGCAAAAATAAAATTTATTTCGCCTACTTTGTGAACAGTAATGAATGTTGGGAGATCCTTCGTAGGCAGCAAGTTTCCGCGATCAGAGGCGTCACCAATCTCAGCTGCGATTTTCTGAGACAAAGAAACCGGCAACCTAAGAACACTATGGGACAGATTCGCAATACTAACTTTATTGTCGACAGAGCAGCGACTACGGCAAGGGAAGCTGCATCCACAAGGTTTCCATCACTTTCAAGAAGCTGAAATAATTTAGAAAGCAGACGCCAAGTGACATACAAGGAGATCAGTGTGCAAGACCCAGCACTGTTTGCCTGGCTGGATACAAAGCAATCTGAGGGGCAAGCAGTTTCTAGTGAACGCGGCTGAGAGAGTAGCTTTCAAGGTGTCCGCAATTTCGGCTCCACTTTTGCCTGAAAACTTTGGCGTAGCAGTGGGGGAACTAGAAACAGAGGCAGACATGTTTTGATCAGTTTAGTGATAAGAAACGCTAATATGAGGTGCTTTTGACTCCTAGCTCACAAAAGAAAATGAATTTTTGTGAAAATTAAAACAAGTCGGTCGCATTCTGATTTTAGATATGCAGGTATACCTACATAAAAAAAAAAACAAATACTACTTAGACCAGTCAGTAATTTAGTTTGATAAACTTTTGTTATATCTTTGCTAAATTTGCATCAGTAATGAGTAATCTTAAACAAATGGGCATCACGCCTTTAACAAAACTTTAATACAGCATCTAGAAGTGATACATTTGTCCGTAAACACTAACGATTCGGTGGTCCGACTTTAAAAGCACCTATAAGTTTAAGAGAAAATAACGGCATATGCATTTAAGACTTACCATTCAACGTCAATCTCCATTCGTCCCTCGTTTGGAAGATTCGTTGATGTGGTGCCAACACCAATGGAAACACATGCGATAACTATCGTACTTCCCTAGTCATCAAAATTCATAAAGATAATGACCCACAATTTTGACTCTAGCCGAGCCCGCAGTGTGATTGAGAACGCCCGTTTCGAGTTCCATCGGACGAAAATCTTTTCCTAGTCTTCCATCGAGTCGACAATCAAGCTTTTTTATAAACCAAAAAAGATATCAAACCTGAGTTCCTTGGATTATATAAAAACGTTCCGCATCACTGAGGAGAATATTGTCCATTGTATCTGGTCCAAAAATAACAAAATGTGAAATTCCTGGTAACCACCACAAAAACTAGCTTTTTAAAAGAACATCATAAACACAGACCATTCACAATTCAATAGTAAATTACATCAATGCATACAAAATAGTGCCTCCAAATACCTTATTAATACGTTCACCGAACTGTCGAGGCTTAAACCTTTAATTAACGAAAAGTTGGAAAAGATTTAAAGTTCGATCGCTGAAATAAATGGTCTTTAGGTGTTGTAAGTAGAGTAGCTACATGAAACGTACGCCACAAGATGACATTCCCAAGTTCAATCCACCGACTCCGGTTTAATCTCGCATTACTAATAAATTCGAAAATAGTCCGAGGTAAGTGCACAGATATCCACTGGTTAGGTGGGATAGTACGCACCTCAGTGTCAGATTGCCTTCAAATGCAGCAAGCAAACAGAAGTCGCACAACTTCAATTTATGAATAGACAAGATGACGTATGGGATTATAACTTATCCATAAGCATTTTCAGGAGGGTAGTGTAAGAATATTAAAGTTACGTGTTTCTGTATTTGCCAAGAAATGATTTCACGAAATGACATTTGAGGCTCAATGTCTTAATCTCACTAGTTCCGGCGCCAAATATGGTAAAGTGCAAGTTGCCTCGCGATAATGAAAGTTTAGCAGCATACGAGCCTCAACATTATTGAACTCTAATCACAACAAATTAATTTTTGTTAGACGAAAAAAATAGTAAGATCAATTGCAGTCACATTTGATGGAGCGCATTATGACAATGAATACAGACTGAACACAGTGAGTTTATGCAGAATACGAAAAAAAATACTAGGAGGCACTTTAATGGAGGAATAAATACCACGAAATTAAGACAAACTGCAGCGAAGTGTAGTGTGGTGTGGTATTGTGTTGTGGTGTGACGTCGGATTAGGGCGCAGACATGTTGGACCACCTGGCCTCAGCCAATCCTGTGTCTCTCTGTGTTCCAATGGCATACGAGAAAGATAAGCAGCCAACCAGAGAAGGACTCGACTGAGGTGCTATATATAATGAGCGGCGTGGGCAGCATGGTCGACTCGGATGGAAGGCACCTGACGGGTGGCTCTGGCTTCTGATTGGTCAATAAAGCCTGTTCTGTTGTACCGGTCTTTTACCTATTAGGGCTTGGGTATTCTACAGTGGCGTCGGATTAGGGCGCAGACATGTTGGACCACCTGGCCTCAGTTAATCCCGTGTCTCTCTGCAATCCAATGGCATGCGGGAAAGGAAGGCAGCCAACCAGAGATGGACATGGAAGAGATGCAGTATATAATGAGCGGCGTGGCCAGCGTGGGGGACTCGGATGGAAGGCGCCTGACGCGTGGCTCTGGCTTCTGATTGGTCAATAAAGCCTGTTCTGTTGTACCAGCATTCTTCCTATTAGGGCTCGGGTATTCTACATTGGTGGCAGCGGATGCGTTCGAATAACGCGAATCGAACCCCAGTCCTTTCTCTTCTATGGTCAACAGAGGCGAAGACCCTTAAATGCCAGCTGAAGTTGTCATGGCGGTCATCCGATGTCCAACAAAATGAATCCACAGTCATTGCCCGGGATTAGGACTACTGCATCCGAAGAGGCATTGGCAATTAAGCGACGACGACTTGGACAGTGAA